CCCACACACACACGCATACACAAACACACACACACACGCACTTAGACACACACACAGACAGACACACACACAAACACACCCACCCACAAACACACCCACCCACACACACACACACACACACATACACACCCACACACACACGCATACACAAACACACACACACACACGCACTTAGAGACACACACACACACACACACACACACCAGTGGCTGGAATCCTGGCCCATTCCTCCCTCTTTGAGATGTTGTGTCAATATCTCCACATCTTTTCTCACGCTGCCATCTTCTGTATTTCATAAACTTCAACAGTGTAATGTAAACGTTCGGGTTCAACTGTAAATTCTCAGAATAGGTGTCTGGAATTGTGGCCCATTCCTCCCTCTTTGAAAGGTTGCTTCAATACCTCCGCTTCAGGTTCTACAGCATGTGCCTGCTGCTATATATTTCATGAACATCTATCACAAGCGAATGTGATCATCCGGTTTCGACTGTAGTTAGTGCTGTAAGTGGTGTTTCTCAAGCTTCTCACAATAGGTGGTTGGAATTCTGGCCCATTCCTCCCAATTTGAGTTGTTCTTCAATATCTCTACATTATATGTTCGCTGCCATCCACTTTATAAACCTCCCCAGAGTCTGCAAACGTGTGGCTCTAACTGGCGTTTGGCAAGCTCCTTACTTGGTGGCTGGAATTCTGGCCCATTCCTCCTTCCCAGAGGTGTTGCTTCCAGTTCATAGTCTGTGCTTGCTGCCAACTATTCCATGACCCTTTAGAAACAATAAAACTAATCATTTAGTGTCTTTGTTTACAGAGCGCAGAATGACGGAGGCTCCAGAACCCAGCCCTGAAGATGTGAACAACCGCAGCTTCTGGATGGTACGACAACAACAACAACAACAACAACAACAACAACAACAACAACAACACACTGGGTTTATACAAATGTGTCGGGGAAGACCAGGAGTTGTTTTGTCTGAGGCTCCGACCACAGTCTGCGTACGAAGTCTCTTTACTGTCCCCAAACACACACACACACAGACACACACACACACACACACACACACACACACAGACACACACACAGACACACACACACACACACACACATACACACACACACACACAGACACACACACAGACACACACACACACACAGACACACACACACACAAACCACAGCAGTTAAAAAGTGGGTGTTCCCCTCAGTTAGACTCGTGAACTCTAAAGTTTCAGAATTGACTCTTGTTCCACTTAAAGCTGAGGTACCTGACTTTCACACACGGACGAGGAATTAACATCACAAAAACTACATGTGTGTGTCTATACATGTGTGTGTCTGTACATGTGTGTGTCTGTACATGTGTGTGTCTATGCATGTGTGTGTCTGTACATGTGTGTGTCTGTACATGTGTGTTTCTATACATGTGTGTGTCTATACATGTGTGTGTCTATACATGTGTGTGTCTATACATGTGTGTGTCTATACATATGTGTGTGTCTATACATGTGTGTGTCTATACATGTGTGTGTTTATACATGTGTGTGTCTGTACATGTGTGTGTCTGTACATGTGTGTGTCTGTACATGTGTGTGTCTATACATGTGTGTGTCTATACATGTGTGTGTCTATACATATGTGTGTGTCTATACATGTGTGTGTCTATACATGTGTGTGTTTATACATGTGTGTGTCTGTACATGTGTGTGTCTGTACATGTGTGTGTCTATACATGTGTGTGTCTATACATGTGTGTGTCTATACATGTGTGTGTCTGTACATGTGTGTGTCTATACATGTGTGTGTCTATACATGTGTGTGTCTATACATGTGTGTTTCTATACATGTGTGTGTCTGTACATGTGTGTGTCTATACATGTGTGTGTCTATACATGTGTGTGTCTATACATGTGTGTGTGTCTGTACATGTGTGTGTCTATACATGTGTGTGTCTGTACATGTGTGTGTCTATACATGTGTGTGTCTATGCATGTGTGTGTCTATACATGTGTGTGTCTATACATGTGTGTGTCTATGCATGTGTGTGTCTATACATGTGTGTGTCTATACATGTGTGTGTCTATACATGTGTGTGTTTATACATGTGTGTGTTTATACATGTGTGTGTCTATACATGTGTGTGTCTATACATGTGTGTGTCTATACATGTGTGTGTCTATACATGTGTGTGTTTATACATGTGTGTGTCTGTACATGTGTGTGTCTATACATGTGTGTGTCTATACATGTGTGTGTCTATACATGTGTGTGTTTATACATGTGTGTGTTTATACATGTGTGTGTCAATACATGTGTGTGATGTCAGAGATTATTTGATAACTTTCGGACACAGTTGAACTCTCTAGAGCCGGGGTCTCCAACTTGTTGCTTGGGAGCTACCAGTAGCTCGCTAGCCATTTACAGGTAGCTCCCCATAGGATTTTTAATTTAAAACATGATCCTCCATCCATCCATCTTCTTCCCCTTAGTCCGTTTCTGGGTCGGGGGTGGCAGTCAGAGCTACACCCAGTACTGTATATAAAACATGATCCTGAATGATTCAGTTCATTTCAAAGTATAATATATATAATAATATAATAATATAATGTTATGTTTCCATGTTTTGTCGTAATTATTACATAGATTTTTATTGTGACTGCAAAAGAAGTAGCTCTCTGCCTCTTCTGTTGTGTACAAGTAGCTCTCCAATTCAAAAAGGTTGGAGACCCCTGCTCTGTAGTTTCTCTGGTGCAGGGTTTCTCTCTGATGTAGCTTCCTCCTGACGTTTGGTTTTAACAAATATATAACACGCCTCATTCTGACGGCGTCTTGTGTTGTGTTTGTGTTCCATCGTCCTGAGGCTGATGTGACGCTGTTCACGTGACGCTGTTCACGTGACGCTGTTCACGTGACGCTGTTCACGTGACGCTGTTCACGTGACGCTGTTCACGTGACGGGCTGCTCTGAGATAATCACTAACTATTCCATCTCATTTCTTTTTCACTGAATTTGCTCCAACAGTAGAACTATAAGTGTTTCTTCTCTGCCTTCACTGGACTCAGGCTGTTGTTCTCGCTGGTGTTTCTGGTGTTTCTGGTGTTTCTGGTGTTTCTGGTGTTTGTTAAAGTGTTTGCGTTGGCAGAACCAGAGCAGCAGCCGCGGGGGTCACGCTTGTAAAATTCTGCGATTACCAGAAGCCACGTTGCCTCACATTTAACAAAGCTCTTTTTTTCTTTGAACAAGCCACGAGTCCAAACTCAGCCTGATGTTGGTCCCACGGCTCTGACTTAAAGGGCACGTACCATAGCCACGAGTCCAAACTCAGCCTGATGTTGGTCCCACGGCGCTGACTTAAAGGGCACGTACCATAGCCACGAGTCCAAACTCAGCCTGATGTTGGTCCCACGGCGCTGACTTAAAGGGCACGTACCATAGCCACGACTCCAAACTCAGCCTGATGTTGGTTCCACGGCTCTGACTTAAAGGGCACGTACCATAGCCACGAGTCCAAACTCAGCCTGATGTTGGTCCCACGGCGCTGACTTAAAGGGCACGTACCATAGCCACGAGTCCAAACTCAGCCTGATGTTGGTCCCACGGCGCTGACTTAAAGGGCACGTACCATAGCCACGAGTCCAAACTCAGCCTGATGTTGGTCCCACGGCGCTGACTTAAAGGGCACGTACCATAGCCACGACTCCAAACTCAGCCTGATGTTGGTTCCACGGCTCTGACTTAAAGGGCACGTACCATAGCCACGAGTCCAAACTCAGCCTGATGTTGGTCCCACGGCGCTGACTTAAAGGGCACGTACCATAGCCACGACTCCAAACTCAGCCTGATGTTGGTTCCACGGCTCTGACTTAAAGGGCACGTACCATAGCCACGAGTCCAAACTCAGCCTGATGTTGGTCCCACGGCGCTGACTTAAAGGGCACGTACCATAGCCACGAGTCCAAACTCAGCCTGATGTTGGTCCCACGGCGCTGACTTAAAGGGCACGTACCATAGCCACGAGTCCAATCTCAGCCTGATGTTGGTCCCACGGCGCTGACTTAAAGGGCACGTACCATAGCCACGACTCCAAACTCAGCCTGATGTTGGTTCCACGGCTCTGACTTAAAGGGCACGTACCATAGCCACGAGTCCAAACTCAGCCTGATGTTGGTCCCACGGCGCTGACTTAAAGGGCACGTACCATAGCCACGAGTCCAAACTCAGCCTGATGTTGGTCCCACGGCGCTGACTTAAAGGGCACGTACCATAGCCACGACTCCAAACTCAGCCTGATGTTGGTTCCACGGCTCTGACTTAAAGGGCACGTACCATAGCCACGAGTCCAAACTCAGCCTGATGTTGGTCCCACGGCGCTGACTTAAAGGGCACGTACCATAGCCACGACTCCAAACTCAGCCTGATGTTGGTTCCACGGCTCTGACTTAAAGGGCACGTACCATAGCCACGAGTCCAAACTCAGCCTGATGTTAGTCCACGGTTCTGACTTAAAGGGCACGTACCATAGCCACGAGTCCAAACTCAGCCTGATGTTGGTCCCACGGCTCTGACTTAAAGGGCACGTACCATAGCCACGAGTCCAAACTCTGCCTGATGTTGGTTCCCACGGTTCTGACTTAAAGGGCACGTACCATAGCCACGAGTCCAAACTCAGCCTGATGTTGGTCCCACGGCGCTGACTTAAAGGGCACGTACCATAGCCACGACTCCAAACTCAGCCTGATGTTGGTTCCCACGGCTTTGACTTAAAGGGCACGTACCATAGCCACGAGTCCAAACTCAGCCTGATGTTGGTCCCACGGCGCTGACTTAAAGGGCACGTACCATAGCCACGAGTCCAAACTCAGCCTGATGTTGGTTCCCACGGCGCTGACTTAAAGGGCACGTACCATAGCCACGAGTCCAAACTCAGCCTGATGTTGGTCCCACGGCGCTGACTTAAAGGGCACGTACCATAGCCACGAGTCCAAACTCAGCCTGATGTTGGTCCCACGGCGCTGACTTAAAGGGCACGTACCATAGCCACGAGTCCAAACTCAGCCTGATGTTGGTCCCACGGCGCTGACTTAAAGGGCACGTACCATAGCCACGACTCCAAACTCAGCCTGATGTTGGTTCCACGGCTCTGACTTAAAGGGCACGTACCATAGCCACGAGTCCAAACTCTGCCTGATGTTAGTCCCACGGTTTGACTTAAAGGGCACGTACCATAGCCACGAGTCCAAACTCAGCCTGATGTTGGTCCCACGGCGCTGACTTAAAGGGCACGTACCATAGCCACGAGTCCAAACTCAGCCTGATGTTGGTCCCACGGCGCTGACTTAAAGGGCACGTACCATAGCCACGAGTCCAAACTCAGCCTGATGTTGGTCCCACGGCGCTGACTTAAAGGGCACGTACCATAGCCACGAGTCCAAACTCTGCCTGATGTTGGTTCCACGGTTCTGACTTAAAGGGCACGTACCATAGCCACGAGTCCAAACTCAGCCTGATGTTGGTCCCACGGCGCTGACTTAAAGGGCACGTACCATAGCCACGACTCCAAACTCAGCCTGATGTTGGTTCCACGGCTCTGACTTAAAGGGCACGTACCATAGCCACGAGTCCAAACTCAGCCTGATGTTGGTCCCACGGCTCTGACTTAAAGGGCACGTACCATAGCCACGAGTCCAAACTCTGCCTGATGTTGGTTCCCACGGTTCTGACTTAAAGGGCACGTACCATAGCCACGAGTCCAAACTCAGCCTGATGTTGGTCCCACGGCGCTGACTTAAAGGGCACGTACCATAGCCACGACTCCAAACTCAGCCTGATGTTGGTTCCACGGCTTTGACTTAAAGGGCACGTACCATAGCCACGAGTCCAAACTCAGCCTGATGTTGGTCCCACGGCGCTGACTTAAAGGGCACGTACCATAGCCACGAGTCCAAACTCAGCCTGATGTTGGTCCCACGGCGCTGACTTAAAGGGCACGTACCATAGCCACGAGTCCAAACTCAGCCTGATGTTGGTCCCACGGCGCTGACTTAAAGGGCACGTACCATAGCCACGACTCCAAACTCAGCCTGATGTTGGTTCCACGGCTCTGACTTAAAGGGCACGTACCATAGCCACGAGTCCAAACTCAGCCTGATGTTGGTCCCACGGCGCTGACTTAAAGGGCACGTACCATAGCCACGAGTCCAAACTCAGCCATGTTGGTCCCACGGCGCTGACTTAAAGGGCACGTACCATAGCCACGATCCAAACTCAGCCTGATGTTGGTTCCACGGCTCTGACTTAAAGGGCACGTACCATAGCCACGAGTCCAAACTCTGCCTGATGTTAGTCCCACGGTCTGACTTAAAGGGCACGTACCATAGCCACGAGTCCAAACTCAGCCTGATGTTGGTTCCACGGCTCTGACTTAAAGGGCACGTACCATAGCCACGACTCCAAACTCAGCCTGATGTTGGTTCCACGGCTCTGACTTAAAGGGCACGTACCATAGCCACGAGTCCAAACTCAGCCTGATGTTGGTCCCACGGCGCTGACTTAAAGGGCACGTACCATAGCCACGAGTCCAAACTCAGCCTGATGTTGGTCCCACGGCGCTGACTTAAAGGGCACGTACTATAGCCACGAGTCCAAACTCAGCCTGATGGTCAACTCAGCTGATGTTGGGTCCCACGGCGCTGACTTAAAGGGCACGTACCATAGCCACGACTCCAAACTCAGCCTGATGTTGGTTCCACGGCTCTGACTTAAAGGGCACGTACCATAGCCACGAGTCCAAACTCAGCCTGATGTTGGTCCCACGGCGCTGACTTAAAGGGCACGTACCATAGCCACGAGTCCAAACTCAGCCTGATGTTGGTCCCACGGCGCTGACTTAAAGGGCACGTACCATAGCCACGACTCCAAACTCAGCCTGATGTTGGTTCCACGGCTCTGACTTAAAGGGCACGTACCATAGCCACGAGTCCAAACTCAGCCTGATGTTGGTCCCACGGCGCTGACTTAAAGGGCACGTACCATAGCCACGACTCCAAACTCAGCCTGATGTTGGTTCCACGGCTCTGACTTAAAGGGCACGTACCATAGCCACGAGTCCAAACTCTGCCTGATGTTAGTCCCACGGTTCTGACTTAAAGGGCACGTACCATAGCCACGAGTCCAAACTCAGCCTGATGTTGGTCCCACGGCTCTGACTTAAAGGGCACGTACCATAGCCACGAGTCCAAACTCTGCCTGATGTTAGTCCCACGGTTCTGACTTAAAGGGCACGTACCATAGCCACGAGTCCAAACTCAGCCTGATGTTGGTCCCACGGCGCTGACTTAAAGGGCACGTACCATAGCCACGACTCCAAACTCAGCCTGATGTTGGTCCCACGGTTCTGACTTAAAGGGCACGTACCATAGCCACGAGTCCAAACTCAGCCTGATGTTGGTCCCACGGCTCTGACTTAAAGGGCACGTACCATAGCCACGAGTCCAAACTCAGCCTGATGTTGGTCCCACGGCGCTGACTTAAAGGGCACGTACCATAGCCACGAGTCCAAACTCAGCCTGATGTTGGTCCCACGGCGCTGACTTAAAGGGCACGTACCATAGCCACGACTCCAAACTCAGCCTGATGTTGGTCCCACGGCTCTGACTTAAAGGGCACGTACCATAGCCACGAGTCCAAACTCTGCCTGATGTTAGTCCCACGGTTCTGACTTAAAGGGCACGTACCATAGCCACGAGTCCAAACTCAGCCTGATGTTGGTCCCACGGCGCTGACTTAAAGGGCACGTACCATAGCCACGAGTCCAAACTCAGCCTGATGTTAGTCCCACGGTTCTGACTTAAAGGGCACGTACCATAGCCACGAGTCCAAACTCAGCCTGATGTTGGTCCCACGGCTCTGACTTAAAGGGCACGTACCATAGCCACGAGTCCAAACTCAGCCTGATGTTGGTCCCACGGCGCTGACTTAAAGGGCACGTACCATAGCCACGAGTCCAAACTCAGCCTGATGTTGGTCCCACGGCGCTGACTTAAAGGGCACGTACCATAGCCACGACTCCAAACTCAGCCTGATGTTGGTTCCACGGCTCTGACTTAAAGGGCACGTACCATAGCCACGAGTCCAAACTCAGCCTGATGTTGGTCCCACGGCGCTGACTTAAAGGGCACGTACCATAGCCACGACTCCAAACTCAGCCTGATGTTGGTTCCACGGCTCTGACTTAAAGGGCACGTACCATAGCCACGAGTCCAAACTCTGCCTGATGTTAGTCCCACGGTTCTGACTTAAAGGGCACGTACCATAGCCACGAGTCCAAACTCAGCCTGATGTTGGTCCCACGGCTCTGACTTAAAGGGCACGTACCATAGCCACGAGTCCAAACTCTGCCTGATGTTAGTCCCACGGTTCTGACTTAAAGGGCACGTACCATAGCCACGAGTCCAAACTCAGCCTGATGTTGGTCCCACGGCGCTGACTTAAAGGGCACGTACCATAGCCACGAGTCCAAACTCAGCCTGATGTTGGTCCCACGGTTCTGACTTAAAGGGCACGTACCATAGCCACGAGTCCAAACTCAGCCTGATGTTGGTCCCACGGCGCTGACTTAAAGGGCACGTACCATGAAAGACATTTAAACTATGTCTTTAATGTATTTTTAGATTTTTTCATATGTTACAACATTGTTCCCTCAATAAAAACAGACTCAACAACATTTATGGACATTTATGAACATTTATAGACATTTATGGACATTTATGGACATTTATGGACATTGGTGTAAATGAATAGTTTTTGGGATTTGTTTTGTTTTGTTTCCATTTCTGGTTCCGTTCTGGTTTGTCCTGATTTACAAGCTTCAAAATAATTTATAAAACGCTAGAATTGACAGATTAATTAAAAACAAAAAATCCTAAAAACAGATAAATTTGAATTGTTCTTTGCACAAATAATTTTCTACTTTAGTTAGAACCAAACGTTATGGTTGGTTATGGTTAAAGGGAATAAAGCAGTAAAGTAGTAGTGAAAGTTAATTATGCGTAATACTGAGTACATCGTTCCACCTTTTGCTGTTTGAAACTCAGGTACCGCAGCTTTTAGCATTAGCATTAGCATTAGCATTAGCTTTAGCTTTTTGAACAGGATTTCTGCAGACAGACCTTGTTGTTGTTTGTGGACCTTTAAAATCTTCGTCTCTGGACCGTGAAGACCCAGATGTAGCTGTTTGTTTCTCTGACTCTTCTCTCCATCGCCCCTGTACATCTGGATTGGTTTAGATATGTCTGGATTGGTTTAGATATGTCTGGATTGGTTTAGATATGTCTGGATTGGTTTAGATATGTCTGGATTGGTTTAGATATGACTGGATTGGTTTAGATATGACTGGATTGGTTTAGATATGACTGGATTGGTTTAGATATGTCTGGATTGGTTTAGATATGTCTGGATTGGTTTAGATATGTCTGGATTGGTTTAGATATGACTGGATTGGTTTAGATATGTCTGGATTGGTTTAGATATGTCTGGATTGGTTTAGATATGTCTGGATTGGTTTAGATATGTCTGGATTGGTTTTAGATATGACTGGATTGGTTTAGATATGTCTGGATTGGTTTTAGATATGTCTGGATTTGGTTAGATATGTCTGGATTGGTTTAGATATGTCTGGATTGGTTTAGATATGTCTGGATTGGTTTAGATATGACTGGATTGGTTTAGATATGTCTGGATTGGTTTAGATATGTCTGGATTGGTTTAGATATGTCTGGATTGGTTTAGATATGTCTGGATTGGTTTAGATATGACTGGATTGGTTTAGATATGTCTGGATTGGTTTAGATATGTCTGGATTGGTTTAGATATGTCTGGATTGGTTTAGATATGACTGGATTGGTTTAGATATGTCTGGATTTGGTTTAGATATGACTGGATTGGTTTAGATATGACTGGATTGGGTTTAGATATGACTGGATTGGTTTAGATATGTCTGGATTGGTTTTAGATATGTCTGGATTGATTAAGACGATGTCTAAACTGGTCTGGGGTTAGATAGCCGGAGCTGTTAGGAGCAGCTGTAAGTTGTACATCTTGTGTTGATGTTTTTACATAATTTATTTGGGGAGTGGCTTGGGGTCATTTGGAAATGGTTAATGGTACATGTGGTTGTGTAGAATGTTTGGGGGAGTGCTTCTACCACTACTGGGGCAAGGATGCCATGATTTGATGAGGTAGTGGCAAGGAAATCATACGGCCCTATTGCTTACTGATGGTCTGTGGGTAATGGGGCCGGGGGCAGTAGAGTGGAGGCGTTATAAGTAACGTGTAGAATGCGGGGATTAGGTCGTTACTGGGAGTAGCGGTGTACTCGCATCGGCCGGGGGCCCCGCAGTTGGAGGTTTCACCTGAGCACGTGTTGTCTGTGTACACGCCAGTCCGGGGTGGATATGAACCATCGTAGGCCCCAGTGGCTCGCTTCAGGGACTCTGCGTTCGATGGAGTTGCTTGTGCGCTGGGGGAACGCGGATCCTGAGGGCCCCGGGGTGGAAGCCTGGGTAATGACATTAGCGCCCCTCGGCCGCCATGGCCCGCGGGTGAGGATAGGACTCACACGGACAACCCTTACTTCGCGCCAATACAGGGCCAAACCGGGCCAAACTGGGCCATAAGACTCACGGGAGCTCCCGGCCAATATAGCATCAGGAGGATATTGAGGCCTGAGAATGAGACCGCGGCGGCGAGGGGGAAGGGCGAGAACAGGAGCTATAGGCTTTTGTTAGTGAGGCTCCAACAGCACCTAACGACACTCTGGTTTTGGGGGGGTGATTATTAGACGTGCTCTGAGGGCCATGTGTGGTGGAAGGTGGGTTGCCCAAGGACACAACAGCAGTTTGGAAAACCTGAAGCTAAAGCCGATGGACAGAGGACTTCCGCCGAGTGTGCTTCCAGCTGAGTTGAGAGATCCATTGGGTTTTATAACGTGCTTTTATAGACTCTCATTAGAGTGCGGGCACATGCCGTTCAACCACTGGAGTGGAGACACACGTGCGTCTGGTAGCCATCAGCTGCCCTGGGGCACACTCGGACAGAAGCAGGACATTGGGCCATCCCCTCGTGTGATCACACATATCGTCCGGTTTGCCAAAAGACCACAACAGAAATAGTGGTACTCCCAGCTCCGCCGCTAGAAGGTCCTCCCATCACAGTACTAAACCAAAGGGGACCCTGCCCTGCCTCAGTCCGTCAGAGGTCTTTCACCTGCATGGGGGCGACACAATGGAATACTTTATGGATGTTAAAGCTTCCAAAATACTCTGCTTTTTAGACATGCGCAATGTCTACATATGTTTAATATCTGTAAATTGAATTTAACCCCACAACATCAGGTTTAAGGAGATGGCACAGGTGCCTGGATTCAGCAGACTGGAGGCGTAGACCCCGGACTGAGGCTGTAGACCCAGGCCTGGGTCTACAGCCTAAATGTTCTTGGAAGGAATGACTGTGGGCTTAAATAATAAAGAGGACTTCCTGTAATATTACTCCAGCAGCCGCTGGACCAGGATGGGAGACACTTCGATCACAACAAGTAGCTAAACGCGTGTTTTTAGGGGACCAATATTGGGTCCGCAATCGAGGAGTGAACCCTTCAGATCTACCGACTGCAAGAATCAGTCCGTTTGGGTAGACGGTATTAATGGACAGAGTTTGGTGTCAGTTTGTGGCCTAGTGGCTAATTACTCGAACTGGTTGTGATATTATCGGGGTCGGGAATGGATTCTACTGTCTGGTTGCGTCGCTCAGATAAGAAACAAAAGTCTGGCGATGGATTAGAAGAAATAATATGATGGGAGGTTGTGAGCCGGAGAGTCGGAATGAAGGAAAGTCGGAAAGAGGACGAACAGTTTTATATCAGACTAGAATTTAAGCCCAGATCAAATGGGTCTGAGTCATATAACGGCTCTGTGTTTTTATAAAGGCCTGAAAATTATGTGTGACTTTTAGACGGGTGTAGTTACTGATAAACTGTGTTATTGGTTTGTGTTCGACGTTAATCGGTGGGAGTGGCGCTGGCAAGTACACTTTAAGGCGTTTGCGTTAGTGGTGCTCTCGCATCAACTACAACGGAGGAGGAAGGAAAAAAAGATAAATTATGGAAAATTGGAAATAACTACGCAGCGACACGCACAGATTTGTAGATAACTTATACTCAGGTGTATCCAGTTTATCCTACCGGTCTTAAAGTCCTACCTAAAGGTCTGCTTTAAAACAAGAGAGGCAGTTATATTCCTCAACACACTTGTTTCTGATTATTCGACGTCCTGTATAAATGGTTCGTCCTCTTTTTTCCGCTTTCATTTCATTCGGATCCGCTCTAAACCGTTTATCTATTTTTTTATTCTAATCCTCGGCTGAACTTGGGTCGGTTCTGAGGGCCACAAAAGACTGGTAAAAAATGACCACCGTTTTAGCACACAGTGAGGGGTTTTTAGATACGTGGCACAAACTGAACCAAAATCGTCTTAAATAAAGTCTAACAAAAGGATGATTCTGCAGGTCGGTGATCTGAGGGTCACGGATGGTCCGGTTTGGGCAAAGTGGGGTCTAATACACAAACGGTTTGGCTTCGTGTTTGTGGTCGTGGTGGGGCTCCGCCTGCCAGATGTCTGCGAGTATTTAGGGAATATCAACTGTTAGATTTAATACCAAAGTCAGTGTCCAAAAACGGTTGTGACTGTAGACCCTGGACTGGGTCCTACAGCCTCAGTCCGGGTCCTTACAGCCGCAGGCCGATGCAGCATCCTGGAATTGCCTCTCCTGCACCTATGTTGTGGGTTAAATTCATTTACAAGTTTAAACATTGGTTAGGAACAGTGGCTAAATAAGAGTATGAGTGAGAGAAATCCATTAGTAAGATACAGTGGTCGGGACCGCAGGTGATAGGACCTCTGAGGCCGGAGCAGGGGCAGGGAGCGGGTTTGTACTGGGTATGGAGACCTCTAGCTGCGCTGTGAGTTACCACAGTTTCTGTTGTGTCTTTGTGCAAGGTCGATTGAGAGGATCACAGATGGTTGCCAACTGTTCCGGCCTTCTGGCAGTGTGCCCCAGGGCAGCGTGCTACAGAAGCATGTGTCTCCACTGTGTTTACCGGCATGTGAAGCCTCTTTGAGAGTCTATAAAGCACGTATAATACCAATGATCGCTCTAAGCTGGAGAATCCCTGGAAGTCCTCGTCATGGCGGTATAGGTATCAGTGTATCCAAACTGCTGGTTGTGGGCCTGGGCAACCCACTCACCCACCATGGCCTAGAGCAGTATTTTATATTCACCACAGTGGGTATGTATGGCTGTTTGAGCCTCACTACATAAGCCGTTGCGCATGTTTTGCCCCTCCCCCGCGCCGCCGCGTCTCTTCACTATGGCCCATTTCGGCCGCCTGTAATTGTTGGCTGATCCCCGGTGATTTGGGGGGGCCCTGTTATGTGGGCCCGGCGGTTACTTAAAAGTTTCTTTTTTGGGGGGGAGGGTTTTTGGTGGGTTTGTTGTTTTTTTGGGCCCTGTTTTGCGGGTAGGTTCCGGTGTGTTGTCATCCTCCTCCGCGCACAGTGTGAGGCCGTGGCCGCCTGTCTTTACCCAGTGCTTGCAAACAGCGGGCCAGCTCGGTCAGCGATCCCTGAGCTACATGCAATTTATTCACAGAGTCACTGAAGCGAGAGACGGGGCCGCTGAGTCCAGGTACACGGTGGCGTTCACAGAATCACTGTGTCCACCAGGTGCTCAAACTGGAGGGCCCGGTGCCGTGAGTACTGTGCACTTTATAAGAAATCCTATACACATGCTAAGTTGTATTATACGCTCCACTCTCTGAAACAGGCCATTACCAACTTGGACCCACCCAGAAGGCTAGGGCAGTTGTTTAGCTGTTTCCCAATCTTCTCATTCTGATACGTGCCCAGTGTGTTGTAGCAAAACAGTTGCCTTAGAAAATAAGAGGTCGTTTCAGTTCATTTGTCAAAAAGAAATAAAAGAAATTTATGAACATAACTAATACAAATGGTATACTTCGCTGCTCCTACCAGCTCCGTCTATCCCTGGTACATGTGTGTGTTCGTCGGTATAGTCTATCCAGACATTTCTAATCCAATCCAGACATCGCTAAATAACCAATCCAGTCAGATCGAAACCTTTCAGTCATACCGAAACCAATCCAGGACATATCTAAACCATGCCAGGTCATATCTAAACCATTCCAGGACATATCCTAAACCAATCTCCAGTCCAGTAGCTTAAACCATCCAAACCAGCATAGCTTAAACCAATGCCTGACATATCTAAACCATTCCAGACAGATCTAAATCCAATCCAGTCATAGCGTAAAACCAAGCCCAGACTATATCTAAACCATATCCAGACAGTATCTAAACCGAATCCAGTCAGTATCTTAAAAAACCAATCCAGACATAGCGTAAACCAATCCAGATCATCTCTAAAACCAAAATCCAGTCATATCTAATCCAATCCAGACTTATCTTAAACCAATCCCGACATAGCGATACCACTCCAGACATTATCTAAACCAGATCCAGAAACTTCTCTAAACATCCAGGACGTATTCTAAACCAAGCCAGGCATAGCTCTAAAACCAAGCCTAGAAATATCGAAACCAATCCAGGACATATCTATACCATATCCAGTCCATATCTATACCAATCCAGACATATCTTAAACCATGCCTGTCATTTCTAAACCAAATGCCAGACATATCTAAACCTAGCCATTTCATATCTGAAACCAATCCAGACTTATCGAAACCAATGTCCAGGGCATAGCTAAAACCAATGCCAGGACAGATCGAAAAACCAATCCAGCAGATCGAAACCAATCCGACAGATCGAATCCTTTCCAGTACAGATTTCATAAACCAATCCAGGACAGAGCCCTAAAAACCAATCCTGTCATATCTATACCATTCCCGCATGGACAGGTGGGGATGGAGTGAAGAGTCAGTGAAACTAACAGCCACATTCTGGGGTGTGACTTGCACGGTCCAGAGACGAAGAGGTGTAATGGGTCCACAAAACAACAACATGGGGCTGTCTGCTGAAAGCCTGGATCAAAAAGGGGCTAAAGCTAATGCTAATGCTAAGTGCTCAATGCTAATCAGCTGCGGTACCTGAGTTTTCAAAACAGTCAAAAGGTGTTGTTGGTTGGAACGATAGTACGCCAGTATTAACGACATAATTAAACTTTCACTACTACGTTACTGCTGTTTAGTCCCTGTGTAACCATAACCAACCGTATCGGTTGGTTCTTAACTAAAGTTGTAAATTATTTGTGCAAAGAACAATGTCAAATTTATCTGTTTTTAGGATTTTTTTGGTTTTAATTAATCTGTCAAGTCTAGCGTGTTTATAAAATTATATTTGAAAGCTTGTAAATCAGACACAACCAGAACGGAACCAGAAAGGAAACAAAACACATGACAATCCCAAAAATCTAGTCATTTACTCACCATGTGCCATAAATGTCCATATAGGTCCATAAATGGTCTAGAACATGTTCATAGCAAATGTCCATAAATGTTGTTTGAGTCGGGTTGTTTATTGAGGGAACAATGTGTGTAACATAATGGAATAAAATCGAAAATAGACATGTAAAGACAGAGGTGGTTAATGTGTCCGTTCATGGATACGTAGCCCTTTAAGTCAGCGCCGTGGGAACCCCAACTGCCAGCGCTGTGTTTGGACGTCGCGGTTGGCTATGGTACGGGCCCGGGTAAGGCAGATACCGTTTGGGGACTCTACATCAGGCTGAGTTTGGACCTCGTGTCCGAGGACGGCCCTTTATGCAGCGCCCGGTGGGACCACAACATCAGGCCTGGAGGTGGGACTCGTGGCTAGGTACGGCCCTTAAGTCAGAAACGTGGACTAACATCAGCAGAGTTTGGACTCATTGTGCGATATATGGACTGCCAGTTAAGTCATGCCGTGGGACCAACTCAGGCGATTGTGGTCGCGGGCGAGGTATCTGGCCCTTGTAAGTCAGACCGTGGACTAATCAGCAGGCTGAGTTGTGTGGTCGCGCGATGGGACGTGCCCATTCAGTACAGCCGTGGAACAACATCATGGCTGAGTGTGGATCGTGGGCGAGGTACGTGCCCTTTTACGTCACGCCCCAGTGAACCAAATCATTCTGGCTAGTTTGGGGGTCACCGGTGGCTAAGGGGACGCCCGTTATGTCAGTATGCCCTGGATCCATTCCATCAGCGGAGTTGGGGGATGGGGCGTGGCTATGTTACGGCCCCTTTAATCACGCCGTGGGTACCAACAGCCAGGGCGGAAGGTTGGGGTCTCTGGCATTGGTACTGCCCGTTAAGTCAGCGGCGTGGGACTCAACCCCGTCGTACTTCAGGCTGAGTTTTGGACTCGGGGCTATGGATATCGTGCCCTTTAAGTCAGAGCCGTGGGACCAACATCAGGCAGAGTTTGGACGCGGGGCTGATGGTTACGTTGCCCTTTAAGGTCAGACGCGTGGGACCAACATCCAGGCTGAGTTTGGACTCGTGCTATGTATCGTGGCCCGAGTATGTCAGCGCCGATGGAACCAAACATCAGCGTGAGTTTGGATTGCGTCGTGGCTATAGGGTACGGGGCCCTGTAAGCATACCGTGGACTAATCAGCAGGCAGCGTTGGGACGCGTGCATGGTCACGTTGCCCTTAAGTCAGTCCCGTGACCGACATCAAGTTTGGGAGGGGGCTATGGTACGTGCCCTTTAAGTCTAGCGCCCGTGGGGACCCACATCAGGCGGATGTTTGGACGCGTGGCTATGGTACGTGCCCTGTTAAGGTCAGCGCCGTGGGACCTTACAGCAGGCGGAAGTGTTGGATCTCGTGGCTTTGGTACGTGCCCTTTAAGTTCAGTGCCGGTAGGACCAACATCAGGCTGAGTTTGGCGTCGGTGGCTATGGTACGTGCCCTTTAAGTCAGCGCCGGTGGATGGGACCCAACAATCAGGCTGAGTTGTGGAGTCCGTGGCTATGGTACGTGGCCTTTAAGTCAGTCGCCAGTGGATCCAACTTCAGCGGAGAGTTTGTGGACTACGTGGCTAGCGTACGGAGCCCTTTAAGTTCAGAGCGTGGGACCAACATCAGGCATGTGTTTGACCTGCGTGGCTATGGTACGGGCCCTTTAAGTCAGAGCGTGGAACCATACAGCAGGGCTGAGTGTGGCTGTAGTCGTGGCTTATGGGTGACGATGCCCTTGAAGGCAGCCGCCGGTTGGGACCAACATGCAGGCTGAGTTTGGGGGACGTCGTGGCTAGGGTAACGTGCCCTCTTATGTGTCAGAGCGCGTGCGAACCAACATCAGGTCTGAGTTTGGAGTCGTGGCTATTGGTACGTTGCCCTTTTAAAGTCAGCGCCGTGGGGACCAACATCAGGCTGAGTTTTGGACGCGTGGCGATGGTAACGTGCCCTTTATAGTCAGCGCGTGGGACCAACATCA